TCACAACCAAGCCTTCAAGGTCAGCTTGTCGCCGTTCCTGATCCGGTACTTCTTGTCTTTTGCCGGCAGCCTGCGAAAGGCTGTCCACACTTCTAAGACTTATCTGCGAAAAGACGAAAATGTCACAGCACTTAACGTTGTTGGAACGACCGGGCAGCACTGCGACGTGTACAAATACAAGAAACAGTGATAGAATTGGGAAAATCCATAGAGCAAGAGCAACCAGTAACAGAGATAGTATCGTCGTAATAGTATTAGAAATCGGAACAGATATCCGTTTCTGTAATGGTCACGGATACCGTAACAGGGAGAGGAACAGTAACAGCATATGTCATAGCAATGGTGAAGGCAGTGGTGGTCGTAGTAGTGTGTTCGTCGTCATAGCAGCAGCAAATAGTAGTAGTACAAATAGTCGTCGTCGTAGTAGTAGTAGCAGTAGTAGTAGTAGTAGCAGTAGTAGTAGTAGTAGCAGCAGTAGTAGTAGTAGTAGTAGTAGTAGTAGTAGTCGTAGTAGTAGTAGCAGCAGTAACAGTAGCAGTAGCAGGAGTAGTTGTAAAAGTAGTAGTAGTAGTAGTAGTAGTAGTAGTAGTAGTAGTAGTAGTAGTAGTAGTAGCAGGAGTAGTAGTAGAAGAAGTAGTAGTACGAGTAGTACGAGCAGTAGCCGTCCGTAGTAGTCGTCATAGTAGCTGCAGCAGCAGCAGTAGCAGTGGTAGTCGTCGTCGTGGTAGTCGTCGTCGAAGTCCTGGTAGTTGTAGCAACAGCAGCAGCTGCAAGAGGATGTGAAGGAGCAGTAGTAGTCTTAGCTGCAGACGCAGCAATCGTAGTAGCCGTGACCTAGTTGCGATGGTAACAAACCCAACAACAGATGCCAAGTAAGAACAGCAACCAGATCAAGCTTCTTCATTTCGCCAATCGCAGCCGTCCCGCGAGCTTACGGCTGAGGGATAAGATCCAGCTTTACACGAGCCACCCAGCAGCAGAAGACTGCCTTTGCCCATTCAAGAAGCTGCCATTCGTGGAATGGTCCTTGGGTACAACTTGCTTCAAGCTCCGCAGGTGGAAGCAAAGTGCCGGCCATTGCATGTACGGCCAAAATAACATAACACACGTGTATGTGTGTATATATACACACATACAACATATAGGTGTGTATATATATATATATGCAGATCTAGAAGTCATATAAACAAATATGAACACAGACGCAAAAATCTGTGAAACTATATATGTAAAACCAAATAGAAGAAGAACTCATTATATATACGCATATACATACATATATGTGTATATATGTATATATATATATATATGTATATATATATATATATATATATATATATCTACATACATATACACATGTTAGAGCATACTGGTAGTGTTATGATTCGCATACATGTACGCATCCACAGCTAACAGACGTATGCCTGTAACCACAGAGCCACATGTAAGCATAGCAATAACCGCACCTAAAAGCATGAACAGCCAAGATGCATACGACTCATAGGACTGTGGGCTTCTATGACTCGAAGATAGTGGGATGTACTGCATTGTGTTGCAGACACGTGTAGTGGGACTTTTGCTGTGCGCTGCCACTGTGATAGTCCGTGAAAAACAAAACCCAGGCCAAAACTCTGTTTTGGAACCACTACTAAACCCCCAAGTATCTATGAACCCCCAAGACCTGGTTTATGGAACTCCGAAAACGTGTTTTGGTATGGCTCATGGCGATTACCCCCGCCCCTCTCCCTTACCCCCTCCAGTTTGATTTACAGCATGCGGCTACGGTGCTGCAGTTTACATGTCTGAGGCTGCAACCAGAACAGACAGTGCGAGTTCCCCATGGATGCCTTCCAAGACATTCATCAGGCAGACATTCTGCATTTTGCATGTCTGGCTGTTGATGTCCCGACCCCCAAGATCAGACCTACCCATAAGCATATGCCAATCCGCAACAGAGAAGAAAACAAGAAAAGCATCTGTCTCCTGCCCGAGTTTCACAACTTTCTTAAGGTGGGACTCCAAGAACTAAAGCATCTACTCCGGGTTCAGATGCTGGCCTTCATATGGTCGTGCTATGGGGCCTTGTTTTGTCATGGAGGTTGGGGTAGGGGTTGACGTGGCTTTCGGCCTTCTGGTGTTGTCCCGGCTCTTCTGTAGTTGTGGGGTTGGTGGTCAGGAAAATCAAAACTTTTCAAGGGCTCCAAGATGTAGAGACCAACGAATACAGCTCCTACAACCTGGAGTCTGCATGAAGGCCCCAGATTTTCTATTAACCGCTGTTCCAGACCATGCAGCAGGCTGGCCTACCAAAGAAAGGGACGTGTGCTTCTTGCTGATGCACTCATCGCGAACGAAGACATCAACCTGCACAGGTTGACTCGAGATTCAGAAATCGAAAGGATCAAGGGTAGGCATCCAATCAAAGTTTCCAATTTCATAGTGTCCGTCCTCGGGCTATCGAGGTTTAGGAGTCATGGGCTGCGAGGCCTTGAGAAAAAATCGCATTTCTGTGTGCTGGGGGAGCGAGGATGCTTCCTTCGCCCTTTGTGGAAAAGGCCGTAACCTCAACCACGCAGTAGAAAGTTAGCTTTGGGCATACAAGCTCATGGAATGCCCTCCCGCCTCAACCCTGCACCTTCAAAGAATTCGAGCCAAATCGTCGAAACCAGATTTCGTTTTTTGTCAAGGCCGAGTTGGTGTAGGGACAAACACGTGCGGTGTGTGGTGCTCTCGTCGTGATAGCACGCCATCAACCCTCAACGCGAAGCGCTGAACCCTCGTGGTGCGAAAGACGAAATACATGCAAGGATCTCTTGAACAACCATGCTCCTGTGAGGGCATTTTTCGGCACTTATAGGCGCAACAGAAAAGCTTGAGCCCTAATGCAAAAGCCCAAAACCCCTCAACCTTAAACTCTAAGTTCACAAAAACACGCAACCCTGATCCCTAAACCCTAAACCCCTAACCCCTACACCCTAAACCCCAAACCGTCCCTTTAAAGGAACCCCTTAGATCCCTTTAAAGGAACCCCTATAGATCCCTTTATAGGAACCCCTATGGATCCCTTCTTAGTTCCCCAATAAACCGGGAAATGAAAGGTTAAACTTTCAGATTACTACTAAAATGTATAAGCCCACAAAGTTTAAAGGTGGGATATAAGAGAGCTAAGCCTTTATCGGAACCCTTATAGAAACCGCCTCAACCACTTTGCTCCTTCGGCCTCGCCTTCCCACGGTTGGATCCAATGAGCACTGTCTGCCTCGAGCTGGGTGGTTTAGGGTTTGGGGTTTAAGGCGGTTTAGGGTTTAGGGCAGCTTGATCTTCATGCCCGGGAGTTTGGGTTTGATGCTTCAGGGATTAGAGCTGAAACGCTTAGAGTTCAGGGATCAGGGATTTGACGTGCTTAGAGCTCATCAGGGATTTAAGAATGAGGGTGTGTAGAGCTTTGCGGATTGAGGGGAGCTTCGGGATTTGCGTTTGGTGCTTCCTGTGGCGGTGGAGGCTCAGGGTTCTATGTCTGCGATTTCAGGAAGGCGCTTGGCGTTTGGGAATTGCTAGATTTGGTAAGGGGTCTCGAGCTTCACAGGTCTTCGGTTTTAGGGCTCCGACTCCGACACATTTCGGTGCCCACAGGGGATGGCACGGATTCCACACACAAGCTGCTGCACAACTCGGAGCATATGCGGTTTGTAATGGGCCTTCCGGATGAACCTGCCCGATCGTCGCCCACCGAAATGCAAGTTAGGGCAGCTCACAACCGCTTCGATCGGACGGGTCTTCATACCATCGGCAGTTTTCGGGAGCATCTTGAGATCCGCTTCCCTGAGATCGTCTGACTTTGAGCTGAACTCCCTCCAGAGCGGATCGTAGATCAGATGGCGAAACCGACCGTCCGATCTCCAAGATCTCTTCCGGTTCGCAGACCCAAGGACTTAGGGTTTAGGGTTTATGGTTTAGGGTAAACCCTAAACCCTAAACCCAAAATTAAGGAGTATTGACAGCTTTGATGAAACCCTCTGCAAGCTTCTCGTTGTCGCTCTTGATAAGGGCCTCCAGAAAGACCAGACGGGCCGCAATCGGCTTCCCTCCCAGATGCCCAGGCATATCGAGAACTCCATTCGACTTGAGAGTCCCCTCCAGGTCGAAAATACACATGGGTCACTTCAAGAAGATTCTCCTGATCCCAATGAACCGCAACATCAAGGTCATTCAAGCCCATCCCTGCCTGGGCTTTGCACACAGCCAGCACAGTAACTGGATAACTGGATCTTCCGGTCCCAAAACAACATTAAGTAACATAATACAATCCTCATCACAAACACAGCCCCCCTAAAGTCCAAAGCTCGAAACAACCCAAGCCCCCTACAGGTCTAGTCCGTTGAAGATAGCAGCCAAAGAAATCGACAACAAGAACGAGCATCCAAGCACCAATGCCCCGCTAAGCCATCGGGCCTAACTGGGCAAAACCCTTAAATTCATAAACTCTAAAGCCCTGGGCTGTTGGAGCCTTAACACCTCCAAAATCAAGTAAAACTCCTATCAGACTATAGCAGCTCCTCAAAAACCCGATGGAACCCTGAAACAACAAACCAACAAGCGATGCAGCAGCAACCTAAGCCTACAACACCCATACTCACCTGTCTCATCGAACAAGTCTCAACCCTAAACCCTATACAACCCCAAGCCCAAGCCCTAAACACAACCATGAGCTTCACTGTTCCTACTTGCCGGGTATCATGGGGAACTAAAGGTTAACCTTTTTGGTCATATAGGGACTATATAGGGGCTACACTACCCAAAAAAGGATAAAGGCTACCTACTCGACTACTAGGAAACCCTAAATCCTAAACCCGAAACCCTAAACCCCTAAACCCAACCATAAGCTTTATTGTTTGAAGAATGCACCGGGAAGCCAGGCTTCTGCTCGCCCAGTACCTTGCCATGCAGCACGGTGGCTTACTTGGAGGATCATGGGACTTAGTAAGTCAGGATATAAGCACCCTAAGTGGGCTTATAAGTGCTGATAAGTAGAGTTACCTTATTTATAACCCCAGTGCATAAGTCCCATGATCCTTTCAGTAGGGTCTACCGTAGGCTCATACACTACCCCTTTCTTAGCGTACCTAGTTTTATGATTCGGATCTGGCATATGTAGATTGTAGGTATCCTAAAAAGGGGTAGAGCATGAGCGTACAGGTAGGACTTAGGGCAACGACAAAGCGAGGTATTGGTTCCTGAGGGCCGGAATCTAAAGAGCTTTCAGCCTTACAGTAAACTCCATCAAGTTGGAAATCCGATTAAGGCCAAATAGTGCTGGGATTCCCTTTACATTACTCTTAAGGAATGAAGCTATTGGGTTTCCAACTCTTGGGCTTCTACTGTAGAGTTCTGGGCTTTGGAGGCTCAGGGCTCTGAAGCTTACCTAAAGCCGAAGAGAGCTGCCTTCTTCAAGCAAGAGACCATCAACCCTGAACCCAAACCCTAAACCCTAAGCCCTAAACCCACAACATATCTCAAGAAGAAACCCTCAAAACGCAGGGTTTTTCGGGCTACAGGTAAGGTCTGGGGCGGCAACGGTGACGGGTTTAGGGATGTAGGGCTGAGGGCTCGAGGTCTCTCGTCTATGGGTTATAGTTATAGAGCTCTGCTACAAGCTCTTTGTCTGCATGCTACAATAGATAAATCCCAGTTGCTGTGGCAGTTAGGTAGTGTGGGTATATTTCGGCAGCAGTATGTCCCTGCCTGAAGGTCCGAGAAGTCTTTACTTCTACATAGCGCAATTTTGCTGGGGTTCGAGGTCCAGGTTGTTTCCGCTGTATTTGCCGTCTACTATTTGCTTAAGAACCCCCAAAAAATAAAAGATATATTTTCTTATGGGGGTAATATAGGGATTATTATTTTTTATTTTTGGGGGGTTTCTTAAGCAAATAGTAGCTGTGCTTTGTTGGAGCCAAGGGTTTGGGGCCCGGGGTTCAGAGCTGTTATACAGGGGCCTTAATCATTAGAATAAGCTTTTGGGGCTATTATACTACACTTGTAACAAGGAAACAGCAAAAATAGTACAGGTTATGATTAAGGCCCTTATATTAGAAGAGGCTTTTGGGGCCATTATATTATACTTATAGCAAGGCAACACCAAAAATAGTATAGGTGATTATTAAGGCCCTTATATTGGAGCTTGGGAGTCACGTGGGCCGGGTTCGGACTGGGAGGCAAGCACAGCAAATGAAACTGCAACGGCTAGGTTTAGGGGTTTAGGGGTTTAGGGTTTAGGGTTTAGGGGTTTAGGGGGTTTAGGGTTTTAGACCCGTGCTACTTGGCTTAGTTCTAACAGCTGCCTTCGAATTCAATTCCTTTGTCCATCGCTTTTCAATCCAAAGGCAGCGGTTTGAACGTTCTACAGACAGGGGCCAACCTATCGGAGCGGAAGTCAAAAGCACCGTGCAGATTTGGGGCCCTTACCGTGTAAGGGTATAATGTACATGCATACTATATACATATGCGTACACATATATACGTGTATATATATATATATGTATGTATATGTATGTATACATGTACGTATATATTTATATATGTACATACATATGGGTATACAGTATACATATACAGGTTGAGCGACCAATTGAGGTTACCAGCGCTTCGGAAGTCGGATCAGGGATGTGAAGCTGTCGCGCAGTATAGGGACCATAATAACTAGAACAGGGTTTCGGGGTATCTCTTTCAAAAAACTATGACAAGGAGATTGGTATGTTTTGAAGCCTAAACCCCTAAACCCTAAACCCCTAAATCCTAAACCCTGTTACTCAGGCTCAGTGCAGCCCTAGCCCTAATCCGTCTGAATCCTGAACCTTTAATTGAACCTAAAGATCTACAAGACCTAAGGCCTCTGATTCGATCCCTTCAGCTCTAGGCCATTCAAACCCTGACTGGGCACGAATAGGGTTTGGGGTCTTGGGGTTTAGGGTTTCAAAGCTTACGGGGATTTAGGGTTTAAGGTTTAGGGGCTTCTGATTTTAAACTGTAGTGGTTTCATTAAGGGTTTGGGGTAGAGGCGCCCGAGCCTGCAGCCCTTAACCCCGTAAGCCCTAAACCCTAAACCCCTAAACCCTAAACCTAAGTACCAAGAGCCTTCTCGTACTCGGGCAGGCCGGGCTTCAGCGGCTCCAGCCGCAACGCAATGGCCTTGCTGCAAAATCTAACATCCTCCTCATACTCCTCCTTATCATCATGTTAATCCTCATCCCCATCTTCAGCCTCATCATCATCGATATCATCACTCAAACCATCTCATCCTCATCAACACCATGGCCACCAATATCAGCACCTCCAATTTATTTCGACATCATCGACATCGCGCGACCTTTCTCCCTCCATCGCTCTATCTGTCCATCCGTCCATCCATGCATTCACACGTCCACTCAGGCACATAAACATACAAGATACATGCGACTCCATTCGACAGTATATGAATACACATATATATATATATATATGTATATATATATATATACACACACGCGCACACTAGTGACAACGGTATGTCCGAAGCCTGGAGGCCCTTACCCAATCCCATGCTTTATGTTCGAAAGGGATATGGCTTGTGAGTGTAAGGTTTAGGATTTCAGCTTCAATCAGGAGTGTTCTTGGGAGTCCACGTATTCGGACGACCCCTGCACCGCGATTCTACTGATAAAGTGCAACAAGCTGCTTGGTGTCTTAGGCTCTCTTCTCCAATAGCCAGGCCCAAAAAAGTTCACACTTTTGAAGACAGGCCAAATATGTAAAGCCAAAAAGTTTAAAGTTCTCCAATTGGCTAAGTAAGTTACTAGGATACCCAGTAACCTAAGAATAAAAAAGGCCTGTTTTGGGGGTATTGGGTAACTTTATAAGGAACCTAGGACTACAAAAAGGGAATAAGGGTACTACTGGGCATCCTAGGTTAGGTATTGTGGCTAAAAGTCCCCCATCCCGCAAACTGATCCCGAAGACACAAACTTCGGAGCCGGGTGGAGTAACTGCAAGAGGTTCTGTGGGGGGTATATGAGACTAGAATACTAATTAGGAGCCTTTAAAGGATGTGGTGAGTACCTGGACCCCCCAAAAGTATGTAGAAGAATCGCCTTTTATGGGTGTTGGGCCATTATTTTACCTACTTTGGGGGCGGGTTTAGGTAGTTGATGCCTGCCGTTACTTGGAGGGCCGGGGGACGTAGTAACTGGTTATTTTAGGGACTTATAAGTACCATAACCCCAATTAGGGCCCCTTTTAGAAAAGGTCTACTTGCTACCTACTTACTAAGTCCCCCGACCCTCCAAGTAAGCCTACCAGCCCGGAAGCCGACGGCCTTGCCGCGGCTTTCGGAGGTCAGGCCGCTCTCAAATCCATAGACCTGGGCAGGGGAGATAGGTCCACGCTTTACGGTTTAGGGTTTCGGGTTTAAGGGCTTAGGGCTTAAGGTTTAGGTTTTAAGAGCTTAGGATTTAGGGTTTAGGGTTTAAGGGCTTAGGGTTTAATTTTAAGAGCTTAGGATTTAGGGTTTAGGGTTTAGGTTTCAAGGTTTAGGGTTGAGGGTGTAGGGTTCCACCTCGGAGAGGAACGTGGGAGGAATTTGCGGGACTCTTGCAAAGGATGACTTCAGGACTCGAAAGGCCGTTTTCTGGAGTGAGCCGCGATTTTACAAGCTGAGCCGGGGGCTGTGTCTCAATGCGAGCTCGGTGATGTGGAGGGCTTAAATATTCTCCAATGGTCGTGCGTCGACTTCTTAAGGGTCGCGCTTTGCAAAGTCTTAGCTGGCCGAGCTTTTGTCCATGCATCTTGGGAAACTTCGTCAGGTACAGGAGCTTGCCATGTGATTCGGTCGAGCCTTGGGGAAAGGAAGGCGACCCCATTCTCAGTCACTAGCCGTCATGATGCGGATCTACAGACTTATCAAGGACTTCGGAACACATGCTCAGACAGGCACCGTGCTTCTAGGCTGACACCGTGCCCGCTGGATCAAGTTTTAGGTGTCATGAAAGACAGGAAGAGTCATCGGTTCATGGGGCATAGTCTTGATTGAAGTGACATAATGTCATGCGAGGACACAAACAATCAGGATTTAGACATGTCAGAGCCGCAGCCGATGTTTTCCGATGCCTTTCGCCGTCGTTTGTAGTCTGAAGTGCCGTGGGTATTCGACAAGCGGTACGAGGAGGACGAACCTACGGGGTTTATGAGACGCGAGCGATTGGTGCACGTTCTGGAATGGGGGCATCAGCTTTTGGCACGAGCCGTGGAATCTGAACCATCCTGAGTTTTTGACAAATCAGATTTTGCAGCACAACTCCACACCCTCGCCACCTCCAATCTAAGCCCTTCTCAGGAAGGAATTTCGAGCACCTTCATCGAAGGGGTGGAGCTGAACGAGAGCCTCGAGCACGAGAGGGGTCAACTCCTTTGCCTCTTGCTCGCACTGGGTTGCTTAAGCAGCTCATGTTTCCAGGGGCCTCCCCCACGGATTGAGGTCTGACGATGATTACGAGAATCCTGCCGGGAGGATTGCTGTACATGGCGAGACCCAGAAGCAATTGGCTTGCTAATGATTCATAGGATGGGCAGTTCTGTTCATGCGCATCCCTGATCCATCATAAAGCTGAGGCCATTTCGGTATTACAACGGCACGGACGGAGTGAATATTGAGTACATCGCAGTGACTCGGCCATCGTTGTCGCATGGGCTATCTTCTGCTTCGTGTGATTCGGGCATGATCCAATGACTTACTTCGTGAGGCTTTCCTGGCCGATATGGCGATGTTGTGTTCTTACATCCGGGTAAGACTGGTGATCGTGATGCCACTGAAGTTCGCGGCCATCTTTGAAAAGCAGCCCGCCATGAAGGACTGCAAATATTCGGGTTAAAGGAATCAAGAATTGATGCGATAATTTATGCTGAGTAGACCTTATCCAAGACAGGACGCAGCCGAGCGATTCGGGTTCTTGAAAGCATGCTTTCCGGATGCTGCTTTCGGCAGCAGCAACCAGCATGTCGTTGTGCATTTGGGCTGGTCTTTGGTTGTGGCTGTTCTGTTGCTATGATCAAGACAGAAACCAAGGAATGTGACGATGCTCTGGGGCAGCGATCGCTTGTTGATTAAGGGCATCAAATGCATTGCAAGCAAACTGCTTGTGGTGTTGCTTGGAAGCAATGCTTAATTATTCTGGAGCTTGTGTCCATGTTCAAATTCTTGTGTGGCTGTTTGGTTTCATCACTTAGGTTCCGCTCGTCGTTGGCGAACAAGAAAAACGGCACTTTGGTGGTGATGCCGAACGACGGCACCGAGGTGACGGGGACCTACGTTTACTGTGCCGCTTGGGTGCAACTTTCAGTTCTGTGTGGCATTGTGTCGGTTCGCTTTTGCTGCCTGGTTTTGGTCACTATGCCTGATTGAGGTAGTAGACCTCTTGTTGATGAGACACCGGCGAACGGTGGATTCCTTGTTGTCGTGGAACTGGGCGAGAGCATTCAGCATGTTGGCCCTGGACCTCTTCAAGCAGGCCCGACCGGAGGAGGGTTCGCACACGCAGCAGCCGGTAGTCAGTGACTTGGAATAACTTAGCATTCGCTCATTCTCGTCGGTTCATTGCGAGGACTTGGATAACTGCTACATGCTGAGCAAGCGAGATGCTGACTTACGCCGCGATGGCCGGAAGCAGGACTTCAAATTCGAGGCTGCATTCGGGCGATCTACATTTCAACTGTGCCTCTTGGTTTCGCAATGGCTGGGGAGCATCGTGCCAGTGTGCAGGCCCACGATCTTATTGTGACGCGGCCCCTGGGACCTTCGATTGTGATCGTGTCGCGACTGCACATATTGTGGAAGCTTCGTTTGTGTCTGCTTCCCCCACAATCAATACTAATTTACTTAATGCTCCCCAAATGCACAGTTCTGTAGAGCCCCTAGTTCCAGACACGAAGGGGAGGGAGAATGGGCATTTCTGTGCTGAGTCCACCCCGCCGACCTTCGTGGATATGCTGGGCGAGGACTGCCTCGCTTTGCAACTTTCGGGGGTCTATGTTAGTGGGAAAGAGCGACCTAGAACTTAGGTAACTGACGGCTCTTCTGAATCTGTGGAGATGCCTGGCTTTGCTTCTGCAGGAGTGAGAAGTGCTCCCACCCGCTTGACGGCGATGGTTCCGTTGCTCGGATTGCACCACGACTGACGGTTTGACACGAGTAATGTACTAAGCAAAGTCGATGCGATGTTTGCCATGGATTATTGAACCAATGATAATCATATGCCTTAGGACATTGGGTTCATTCCTTAGCAATGGCCGGCTTGCTTCGTAGCCTCCCCTCCTGCTTCTGTGCGACACAGACACACACACACAAACACACGGGCACAAGTGCACGCACACCCGCACACACCTTCCTCTTTTCACTTTCTGCAGCTTCACTATCTGAGGTGATATTCGGATCGGACACGGGCTCCGGTTATGCTTATGATGGGATATGGCAGATCAATCTTGGAAATTTTGGTGATTCGATCGATGATTATGATGATTATCTCCGATTATCCGATAATCTGGCCGGGGGATTGCAGGCTGCTTGGATTGAATATCGGATTGAATCTATCCATCCATGGGTGCCACACGGCTCTTAGCTGCAACTCTGGTCGTGCTGCGGCTGCAAAGAGACTGAGGAGTCTGTTAGTTAGTGGCACATGCCGGGTTTCACAACTAGACTATAATTATACTATAGTTATAAATAAACCCGAGTGTTAATCATTACTACTAGTTGAGCAGACTACACTAGAAGGCACTGTTTTCATATCGATATATAAATTAGTCTGTGACAACAACAAACACATCCACACACACACACACGCACATATATATATATACATATATATATATATACGCACACACACACACATATACACACACACACACTACTGACAACATTCCACTTTGTGAAAGTCACTACTTCCTGCATTACGATAAACAACTAACCATATAAAACCTTTCAGACTTTGCCGGTATGCATACCGAAAGCCCTCGGGCTTCTTGGTAATCCCAGATTACACAGGAGTGCTCATGAAGTCGTACCAGCATGCCCTGAACTGTTGTCCAGTCTATTGATAACGTAGCCTAATCATAACAGGTCTCCGATTGTAGGAGGTCGTTATCTGGATACAGGGAGTGATGCAATGAACTAAGTTGCAGCCGATTGGGATGTTGCTGCTCGGGAATCTCGATATGAGTGATGCTTGGTAAAGATTACTTCGTTTGCCCGTGCTTCGGCCGAAGTGAGAAGCACAACGAATCCCCCATCTCAGGAGCAGTGCCGCCGGCCATTGGCAACGTTCCTCGGTGCAGCTCCGAAATCTCTCCTGGGGCATTGAAAACGGGGGCCTGCTGATAGGAGTTTGCTATGCAAGTGCCAATGCAAGTGCCAGCTCTGAGTGTGTCGAACTTCACCCACTTGCCTTTCGAGTGCCTCTACATGTTTGCTCACGCATGGGTGCCCGGGATGCATGCACTAGTCATTGTAGACAACTCAGAACCTGAACAAACACATGGCTTTCGCTGCAGGGCTTCCCTTTAGTGAGAGTTCCGTTCTGGGTTCTGACCGAAGGTCTGCAAATTTCAGGCTGCTGGATTTTGGCATTGTGTGTTCGGGGCTTGCTAGTGCCTTGGACTCCCTGCATCATGGTGAAGATCGTGCCCGGCAAGCTCACGAGGACCGGGGTAACCAAACACGGCATGTCGGTGCTAGGTTGTTAAGTAACGATTGGTGTTACCGAAATGATAAGCCCTGCTACCCGACTAGGTCGGTTTCCATGCGATCTCTGCCGGCCGGCAGTGTTGAGGGCGAAGGCGAGGATACGGCCAGAAGCTTCATGCTGCAGACGGCCCGCAAGAGCCTTGATGATGCCTTGGTTGCCAGCTCCTTGGCTGCACGGAAACTCATGCTGCATGCCTTTGAGCTCATTCTGTGCTGCACGTGTAGTTCTCAACTTTGAGACATTGTCTTGTTTGAGTCAATGTTTGCATCTCAGCAGCAACGCCACACCTCTGAGGCGGCAGCAAGGCCACCGACAAGTCCAAGGATAAGAAGGCAAAGAAGAGGGATGTAAAGAAGGAGAAAAGTAAGAAGAAGAAAAAGAAGAAGGACTGTCCGCCGGCCAGCACATAGTTACACGTCCGAAATCCCATAACTCTGAATTTTGAGCCCTGTAACCCTTTCCTTGCAGTCTCGATTGCCTCATCCCAGGCAGCTCCAGCTCCTCAAGCTCAGAGGACGAGACCGCCTCGGTGGCTTCGTGCGACGTGAATGATGCAGCGGCCTTGCTGGGCCTTTCCCGCAAGGACCTCCAAAGGCCCGGAGAGTGCATGCGGCTGGACGATTTG